ACACCCCAAGCATCCTAGGTGGTGAGATATAAACCTCTCACATGGTTGATGTTGGTCACACCCCAAGCATCCTAGGTGGTGAGATATAAACCTCTCACATGGTTGATGTTGGTCACACCCCAAGCATCCTAGGTGGTGAGATATAAACCTCTCACATGGTTGATGTTGGTCACACCCCAAGCATCCTAGGTGGTGAGATATAAACCTCTCACATGGTTGATGTTGGTCACACCCCAAGCATCCTAGGTGGTGAGATATAAACCTCTCACATGGTTGATGTTGGTCACACCCCAAGCATCCTAGGTGGTGAGATATAAACCTCTCACATGGTTGATGTTGGTCACACCCCAAGCATCCTAGGTGGTGAGATATAAACCTCTCACATGGTTGATGTTGGTCACACCCCAAGCATCCTAGGTGGTGAGATATAAACCTCTCACATGGTTGATGTTGGTCACACCCCAAGCATCCTAGGTGGTGAGATATAAACCTCTCACATGGTTGATGTTGGTCACACCCCAAGCATCCTAGGTGGTGAGATATAAACCTCTCACATGGTTGATGTTGGTCACACCCCAAGCATCCTAGGTGGTGAGATATAAACCTCTCACATGGTTGATGTTGGTCACACCCCAAGCATCCTAGGTGGTGAGATATAAACCTCTCACATGGTTGATGTTGGTCACACCCCAAGCATCCTAGGTGGTGAGATATAAACCTCTCACATGGTTGATGTTGGTCACACCCCAAGCATCCTAGGTGGTGAGATATAAACCTCTCACATGGTTGATGTTGGTCACACCCCAAGCATCCTAGGTGGTGAGATATAAACCTCTCACATGGTTGATGTTGGTCACACCCCAAGCATCCTAGGTGGTGAGATATAAACCTCTCACATGGTTGATGTTGGTCACACCCCAAGCATCCTAGGTGGTGAGATATAAACCTCTCACATGGTTGATGTTGGTCACACCCCAAGCATCCTAGGTGGTGAGATATAAACCTCTCACATGGTTGATGTTGGTCACACCCCAAGCATCCTAGGTGGTGAGATATAAACCTCTCACATGGTTGATGTTGGTCACACCCCAAGCATCCTAGGTGGTGAGATATAAACCTCTCACATGGTTGATGTTGGTCACACCCCAAGCATCCTAGGTGGTGAGATATAAACCTCTCACATGGTTGATGTTGGTCACACCCCAAGCATCCTAGGTGGTGAGATATAAACCTCTCACATGGTTGATGTTGGTCACACCCCAAGCATCCTAGGTGGTGAGATATAAACCTCTCACATGGTTGATGTTGGTCACACCCCAAGCATCCTAGGTGGTGAGATATAAACCTCTCACATGGTTGATGTTGGTCACACCCCAAGCATCCTAGGTGGTGAGATATAAACCTCTCACATGGTTGATGTTGGTCACACCCCAAGCATCCTAGGTGGTGAGATATAAACCTCTCACATGGTTGATGTTGGTCACACCCCAAGCATCCTAGGTGGTGAGATATAAACCTCTCACATGGTTGATGTTGGTCACACCCCAAGCATCCTAGGTGGTGAGATATAAACCTCTCACATGGTTGATGTTGGTCACACCCCAAGCATCCTAGGTGGTGAGATATAAACCTCTCACATGGTTGATGTTGGTCACACCCCAAGCATCCTAGGTGGTGAGATATAAACCTCTCACATGGTTGATGTTGGTCACACCCCAAGCATCCTAGGTGGTGAGATATAAACCTCTCACATGGTTGATGTTGGTCACACCCCAAGCATCCTAGGTGGTGAGATATAAACCTCTCACATGGTTGATGTTGGTCACACCCCAAGCATCCTAGGTGGTGAGATATAAACCTCTCACATGGTTGATGTTGGTCACACCCCAAGCATCCTAGGTGGTGAGATATAAACCTCTCACATGGTGATGACAAGTTTGAGAGGCTTGTTTGGGGTTCCTTCGGGTTCCTCATTCGCCATGTCCCGTTAATCAACTTTTTGGCCGTACTAGCCACGTGAACGAAGAGAAGGATCAAGAGTAGCTCAGGTCCCTACATGGTGACATCATGTAGGCAAAATATGCATTAGTACTTGGAATGTACTAAGTATGCGGGGTGCAACACAACAATAGACAAGGACACAATCGAAATACAAGAAATAGTTTCATAGGCATTATGAATAACAATATGAGGATGCATGATCAAAGTGAAGTCAAAACATGTTTAAGTAACTCTATACTAATAGTAGATATCATATGTGTATGCATGATCCAACCAATCTATAACCCCAACTTAGGATGAGGGATGCCGTTCACACCCGGACACCCTGGTGGCAAGGTATAAACCCCTCACATGGTTGATGTTGGTCACACCCCAAGCATCCTAGGTGGTGAGATATAAACCTCTCACATGGTTGATGTTGGTCACACCCCAAGCATCCTAGGTGGTGAGATATAAACCTCTCACATGGTTGATGTTGGTCACACCCCAAGCATCCTAGGTGGTGAGATATAAACCTCTCACATGGTTGATGTTGGTCACACCCCAAGCATCCTAGGTGGTGAGATATAAACCTCTCACATGGTTGATGTTGGTCACACCCCAAGCATCCTAGGTGGTGAGATATAAACCTCTCACATGGTTGATGTTGGTCACACCCCAAGCATCCTAGGTGGTGAGATATAAACCTCTCACATGGTTGATGTTGGTCACACCCCAAGCATCCTAGGTGGTGAGATATAAACCTCTCACATGGTTGATGTTGGTCACACCCCAAGCATCCTAGGTGGTGAGATATAAACCTCTCACATGGTTGATGTTGGTCACACCCCAAGCATCCTAGGTGGTGAGATATAAACCTCTCACATGGTTGTCCGGTTCTTTTCCCCCGGACCGGGCATGGTCATGCAACACTTTATATAGGAAATTCCCATTAGGCTCTAATGCAATCTCACGTATGGAATGAACATATACACAAGCTTAGTTTGTCATCAACACATCTCTGGATTTCCATACATCTCATAACTCAAGCTTTAAAGCATCGATTCATCAATTCTCCATAGTTGGACATTTTGTCAAACACCTTGAAGGCATGTAATGGAATCAAAGAGCATGGAAAATAGGGTAGTAATTATGCAGCCAAACCAGTGAACAACCTACAACAACACCTTTTTAACACCCACAATACCACATGAAAATCTCCACATCCATTCCAAATTTAGGTTCAAGTTCTAGGGTCACAACATGCTCAAAACAATCACTTTTCATGTTTAAAATTCAATGTGCAGGAAATTATTACAAAGAACAAGACTAATTTATGAATCTTAACTTAAACCATGAATTAGTGAGTAGAATAGAGTCTAGGCACTATGGGTGGAAGGACCCATGAGTTCAACACCACATACCTTGAGTTTTTATGAAGGTCTTGAGAGTGTCTTCAATGGAAGCTTGGAACTTGGAGCAAGAGTCTCTTCAATCTTGAGGAAGGTTTTGGATTAGGGTTCTTGAGAGAACTTGAGAGAAAATGTGTCTAAGTATGGGAGAGGTGTTTTGGGAAATGTTTTAGAGATGGGAATTGAACTAATGGTATATAGGAAATAACATATGCCCTTTGGAAAAATGGTCCAACACTTAGAAAAAAAAATGAGGCGGGTGAACAGTAAAAACGCTCACTGGAAATTGCCTTTCCTGCCGGACAGATTTTACGAAAATGGGCATAACTTCTTCGTCCGAACTCCGAATGAGGTGAAACGAAGTGCGTTAGGTAGCTAACTCAAAGGGCTTTCCATGCCCTTCGTCTTCTCCTCCTCCCACTCTACCAACTGAACATCAACTCTTTCACAGTGTGTTTGGCACTGCCGAAGGGGTGCCAAACCACCTAAACATATCCCACCATAATCTCATTGGTTAGGCAATGTATAAGAAGATGATCCACGTCCTTGCCCGCCTCCTTACACATGTAACATCAATTGACGGAGATAACCTTCCGCTTTCAAAATCACCCCTCTAGTAGCTAGCCATGTGAAAAAGCACACATTTCTCAGCACAATTGAAACCCATATCGCATTACATGGGAAATCAGACTCCACCTTAATCAAAAGTTTCTCATAAGGACTTCAGAGAGAACACTCCATTTCCTAGGGCCACCACTAACCATCGAGGCTATCCACCGGATTGACTTGCATATGAAGGCTAGTAATCTTTGAAATCCACCCACATTCCAATCTTGAAAATCCCTTCTAAATCAAAAATCACATTTATAACTCAATAAAACAAAAACTATTCCTCAAGTGCAAAACGTTTCATGTTGTGGTACTTCTCACTCAAGTGCAAAACGTTTCATCTAGTGGTACTTCTCATTTTCTAAATATCTAATAATATTTTTAAATATAAATTAATCATCATTCTAATGCACAAAAAATACCTCAAATAGCTCTGAATAAACAAAAGAAAGCATTCAACTAGGGTTGGAAGAACTTCATGATTTGATTTGGGACAAATTAAAATGAATGTTGAAGTCCATTATACTGCACTGTCATTTAATAGAAATTATGTAATTACGATCTTACAATTTTAAAATTTCTAGCACATTGTAAAGTGAAAAATGAGCTCCATTCCCGCGGTTCACACCCGGGGTAATGCAATTTCATGTTTACATACCATTACTCCTCTCTATCTCTATCTCTCTCTATCTCTCTCTCAAAGCACATAATGGGTAATGCAATTGCATTGTTATATACTATAACTCTCTCAAAAAAAATGTGCAAAGAAAACGTAGCACTTGGCACTTCTCCATATGGAAAATCAAAAGCAATGATTTGACAGAAATGTCACCATCAACTTCCTTGGAGAAAGATATATTTTTTTTCTTAGTTTGGAATTTAAAAATAATCGCCACTAAAGAAAGATAACCTGTTTCCAAACTTCCACCTTTTTATCAATAAAAAGATATTGCATCAGTTGTCTCACTTTACCCTTTGAATGTAACAACTGCAAGGTACCTGTAGAAGATGTCGAAGTAGGCAATGCAAAATAGTCTGAGCTTGAGGTGATGGCTCAAAACATGGAAACTCTGTACATGCGGAAAATGACATTCTCTGGGAGACGCCAACTACAACTCCGGCGTTTGGAAGCAAACCAAGAGGATAAACCTCACGATCAAAATCCAGCTCCGGATCCAACTACAAGTTCACACCGTAGATTCAAATAAATGAAAGAACAGTAGATGCAATTTTAGACATAAAGGGAAAGACAGATCATGAGATTTTAGGTTTGTGCATGATAATAGGCTCTCTTTTTAAAGAGAATTTATGTGTGATGGTAGTTAATGATCCGGGGCAATAAATGATAAGCTAAGGTCATAACTGGTGGTGCAGTAATGCTAACTATCCGTGGACCTTAGTTTGGTCATAAACTAAAGATGATCAATAATAATACTCTGATGCTTAAATTTGGCAAAAGATGAATCTTAATTTTTTAGGCAAGAAGTACGTCCATGAAGGTATTTCAATTCTCTTTTCAAATGACATCATGAAATGATCCATTATTTAAACTTCAATCCAGGTTCCACCCTTCAGCTATATTTCACTCGGGACTCCACTGTTTTTAACTTTAATTAGCCCCTAAAGTGTTTGACCTTGAGAAATGCTTAAGCACTTCCAATATCCCAAACAACCTATACCAGAAAATATCTCGGCTTCTTTTTACTTCCCCTGATCTTGTTGATACTGACAACTTCTCTTTAATCTTCTTTCCCAACTCCTCCCCTCAAGTGAAAAGAAAGAAAAGGGAAGCAAACTTTTCACATGCACCAGTGCATATCAAAACAGACCAAAGGCTATATTTCTTGAATCATTAAAGAGCTACTAATAACTGAAATATGGACAATTATAGATAGTGTAAAATCAAAGACAAAAGACTATGTGGACTATAGCAATAACATCTTGAATACCTGCAAAAAATCCTCTTGCTTAAAAACATCAGCACCAGGAGATGGATACCAAACCTGTAATACGGAGCTTTTAACCAGTATATAAATCAGACTTGTAAGGTAAGTACATAATTTACAAAATAACTCTAACTGTTAAAGAAAACTGTTACCTGCATTCCACGGTGGCCATAGTCTAACCATGAAACTTCCTCAATCAAGCTTGCTTTCTCCTCTGACTGACCACAGGTAACCCAAAACAACTCTACAGAGTCCGTAAGTTCTCTTTCTCTCCCCTCATCCAAATCAAGAAGTGAAAGCTCTCCATTTGTCCTTTGTATTAAGCATCTGAAAGTACATGCAAGCACTAGAAAATGACAACAAAGTCCTAAAGCACATATCACTTATCAGTACACATCAATACTAGCATGCAGCAATGCAGGGTCCAACTCAGAGATGTAAACATTCAGCAATAAGTACATACCGGGTAGGCTCTCGGACTGACAGATCCAAAGAAGTTGACAGACCACCATTTCCTGCAATGCCTTCTCTTGGGAGCTGATCAGGAATAAAACGCATTGATGCAGGATGGCTCTTTGCAGTCATGATTGATAGCTCTCGTACTGTAGAAAGCTGTTTGTCATGTTATCACTTAAAAACGTATGACAGACACAATACTCTTATTCAAAAGAAATTGTGATATATATCTTGAGCTGTAAAATGCAAAAGAAACTTTGACTCAGTTTTATAGAGCATTTACTCCAAGGAAGTTTCACCTGCAAATCGGGAGAACTCGAAGGCGTTAGTTCACCAGATAACTTCACATGGTAAATATGGACATCGAAAGGTCGGTAAGTGACAAGAAGATAATCTTGGTAAACATCCATGACCATCGGTTTGGTAAGCAAAGGTTTCCGACATAGAAGTGAACTCTGATCAAGGTGATATCTGGGATAGAAAAGCAATTCATACCTGCAATACAAATCAAAGTTGAACAAGTGCTGTTAAAAGCTATTATTTAAGAACCCTCAAGATACAATCTAAAAGATCCTTTTTTTTGTTTTAACATAGAATCTAAAAGATTCAATCTACAACTGGAAAGCTACATTGGTCCTTAAATCAGAAAAATGACCTTCTCACTCCTTAAAAATACTGACCATATATTCAAACAGAAGCAGAGACAAATAGAAGATTCTGCAGCAAACACTTGAGACATAGAAGTGTTAACAATATTTTCTGCAGTCTCGATGCATCTGTCTGACCATAAGAAATCTCTTCTGAGCAGAAGGACATCCATTTCACATACTAGCTGCCTCTTGTGACCATACAGATCATGAGTCATATAGTAAAACATTATTTATCATTCAACATTCAAGGGTAAGATTTGTAACTTGGAGCTCCTGAATAGAATGCCACTCCACCCAGGCTGCACCCTTTAGTGGCCAAGCTAACATATCACCAAAAAAGGTAGCTGCTTATTCAACTAGATGCATATAAGTTCTTTAGTTTTCAAAACATTCCTGATGTTTTCCACTTATGATCATCATTTATTCAACTACCCATCGCTCATCCAGATTTTCATGCCAAGAGATGTTCTTCTTTACTGCTAGATGCTCCCTGATTAATAATGATTATCTCACCCCTAAAATGCATTGCTATCTAAGCGCAAACCAAACACACAGTAGTTTCTTAATAAACCAGGTCAAATATTAGAACAGACCTTCAAATTCAGCAAAGTCAACGCTAACCAGCAGTAAGGTGTAAGAAAATCCAATATACGAATATACATTTCTTGTACAATCATACCTTGTGTAAAACGTAATAACAAATGTAAATTGCTCATCTATCCTCATACAGCATAAGTTGATGCTGTTTAGGTATTAGCTAATGCACATAGATAGCTCACCCGTCAGAAGAATCATCATAGTTGCAGACAACAACAATCTTCCCAAGCCATAACAAGCCTCTGCACTGGATCTTTTGTTCCTGAGTGACATCTCCAAAAACTCTCCACTTTTTCAATCTTATGTCATATAAGATCAGTCCATGAAGGCCAGCAGCTGCTAAGTACATTCCATCCTTGCTAGCAGCCACATGTTGAACTGGCCAATTCTGAGAGATGTAGGAAACCTAGCGGAGAGTTGAACTACATTAGAGATATACCGTCTCAACAAAGAAAAACAAAAGCAACATAAAATATGAATAAACCATACTCATCAGTAAAAAATAGCTCTTAACTGGTAGGCTAAGATGCAAGAGTTTTAGTTCATCAGTATCTTCTGTCTGCACAACAAGCAACCGATCTTCACCATAGATTACTTGTCGGACATAAGTAGTCCCAGAGACTCCTCTGTTCAGACAGCACTTTCCAAAAGAGAATGCAATTATTCTCTCTGAAGATCCTTCCTCAACAGCATAAAGCCTGTATCCATATTCATCCCAGTTCATCAACGAGGTACCGTTCATCATAGGTTCATATTTACATTCCTGATTTCGCTTGACCACTGGAGAAGATGCAGAACTTAAGCCAATTTGACGAATGGTGGACATCAAGCGACAACCAGAAACAGACCAAACTGTTAGCCCTCTTAACTTCCACCCAACTGCAAAAGCTGAATTATCAGGTGTCCAAGCAACACAACTGACAGCACCAGTGTCCTCCACTGAATATCTGCAGAAGAATTGCAGGTTATTGAAAGTCAAGGAAGTCCAATATTTTTTGTTTAGTGTTACAATTTTCCTCATACAAAATCTTCCATCACCTTCCTTTCATTCTAAAGAGATGAAGCCAGAGCTAAAGAGAGCCAGTACTACTCTAAAACATCTCAAATCATACCAACTAGGTAGGATATTCTCATTTTAATGGTTCATAGTGATGATTTTGCTTCAACACTAGTTCTGCTAACTGCCAAGATTTCATAGATATATGCTTCCCATGGTTTACACACGAAACTATTTCTGAAAAGGGCATATAGGCATAAATTAATCATTGGTTAGACCGTTGATGGTACAACTGAAATAATCCCCTTTGGTAGAAAATTTGGGCATTATGATCACAGATATAATTATCTTACACAGATGCTTCTTCAATTTTACTTTCTACACACCAGAAAAAGAAACGTTGAATAAACTTAAATAGTTTTTTATCGTTTGAGAAAAACAGGTGCCTTAAAACACACATCCTTCTTTTGTGAGTGTGTCACTTTGCGCAGGCATGATCTTCTCTGTCCCATTCCAATTTTATCAGAGGATCACAGATCATTATAAAATTTAGTTGCCACATACTATTATTTACTAACTTAATCATCTATTATCAAAAGCTAACAAACACTTCAAAACAAGACTCAGACATAAATAAATGAATTTAGCTAGGTACAAAATAATCAAAATGCAATTTACACTAAAGGGTTCTCTCATCAGCAACCAATTGTGACTGTCTTTTACCAAACTCGGATGTCTACAGCAAAAGCTTACCCCCAATCATACAGAGAAACAGAACGCAGAAGCGAAGCAGATTCTGCAATGTCATACAACTCAACAACACCTCTTCTGGTACCAACAGCAAGGAGTTGTTGATCTGAAGCAACTGCAGCACATACAGCATCACCAGAGCCCAGTTTCTTTTCAGCTTTGATAGACTCCATTTGCTTCAGACCCTTTTTGCTCACAGAACATAAGACCAGTTGTCCATCAGAAAATAGCACAACAAGCAACCTTAAGGGTAAGGAGAACTCCAAATGGATCACAGCAGAGTTTTTCGACAAATGATGACTGCATTTTGAAAAAGATAAACTCCCGCCAGAAGCAAGACCATTTTCCAAAGAACTTGCTAGTTTAGGAACCCCACTGCCATCCCGAGACTGAACATCAAGATCAAAGGCATCCAAGGCTCCACAAAACTGCAATACAACAAAAAATCATGAGCAAACATTTCCTACATTTTCTGCCAACTGAAATGAGCAACTATAGACTTTAATTTAAATAAGTAGACATAAACTAGAAATGTCATCTAAAATTTTCACATTAATGTGCGACATAATTAAGACATGTTTAAAAGAATTACCTCTCCCTTCCAGGATATATTATACAGAGATCCATCAGAAAGCCCAACTATCATATGTTTGTTGTCACAAACTACATTGCTCCTGCAAGCCACATATGCAGGGAATAAACTATGTGTTTCAGCTGAGATCAATAGACGACGAGTTAAATAATGAAGAAATTAATCCGGCATGAAAGACATGAACGGAACTATCTTTACCTTCTCCACAAAATAAACTTCCAGTGAAACAACACAAAGTCCCATAAGTAACAAAGTACAGACATATAGGAACTCAGGCTCTCAATATGGTAACAGATGAAGATAAACTATTGGTGACAATTTAAACTATGAGCCAAACTAGTCCTACTTAATTGACAACTTAAGCTACAAAACCAAAATAATCTTTAAGAAAGTCCAGTTCTAAAATACTGGAGAAACACAGGATTCACCAACAAGTTTATCTTCATTCAAGATCAACAACGGGATCAGACTCAACTGTCTTAAAGTTCAAACTCAATGGCTTTTCCTTTTTTACAAGAAGTTTTTTTTTTTTGATGAAGTAAGATGATTTCATTAAAAGCACCAAGAAGATGCAGATTGTACAATAGACTGAGCTCAGATCTTTAAAGGCAGTTAAGTCTTTTAGATAACTTTCCAACACCACCTGTCAATGATTTCATTTGATGAGCATAGAGGAGTATAAGGTGCCTTTGCATAATAGAGACCATTTCTGGAGTTTCCCCACCTTATGTTGTCGACTACATTTTCCATTACAGAGAAGCTTTGTAATATGGCAGGTAGAGTTAGAAACCCTTCCTGAATAGAATGAGCCAGCAACTGTCTTGCCAATACTGAGAGATGGTGGAGTCTTGATTTTGGGCTATCTAATAGAGGTTAGGAAAATCTAATATTAGTATAGAGCCTTGCAACCATTTATCTTTCCAGAATTTTATGTTAATGCCATTGCCCAATTTGAAGTATGAGTTGGACAAAAATTCACTCCATAGTTTCCTGATGCTCTTCCATGGCTCAACTCCATATGGACTCCTGGTGAGCAACGTACACCAATGATTCCGGGGTCATGCTTAACCCTGACAACCTCTTTCCATAGTGGATTCTCCTCCTGGTTGACTCTCCATAACCATTTCATCAACAGACATTTGTTGTGGGTGCAGAGATCCCTAATTCCTAGGCCTCCAAATCTTTTTGGCAAGATGACCTTTGACCATTTAGCAAGGTGAAATCTATGGCCCTTGTTGCTCCCATAGGAATGTTATCCTGACTTTGTCCAGTTGCTTCACTACTTCGCTGGGGATTGGAATAAGGGACACCAACTATGTAGGGATGCTGTCCAACACACTACTGATCAGTGTCAACCTTCCTCCCAAAGAGAGGTATTGTCTCTGCCAAGCAGAAAGTTTCTTTTCAAATTTTTCAACAACTCCATTCCACACCTCTGTTGATTTACATTTTGTCCCAAGTAGAAGCTCAAGATAAGTGGTGGGCAATGTATCAGTGCCACAACATAGGATTCAAGCTAGCTCATCCAAATTTTTTACTTCATTGTTAGGGAAGATAGATTCAATGTTACCATTGTCTATGCTATTTCTTGGAGAATAAGGTATTGTATTAAAATTGCACTAAGATTGTCTATGCTATTATTTAAGGAAGAGGAGCAACTTTCATGCCGCCCTTGACAAAGTTTGTCACATTTTCTGCCTCACTCTCATAAATTCTACTAACAAAATGAGAGAAAAGGTTTTCCTCCACTTTCTACTCATTATTTCATGTCTTATATCTTTCTATCGTGTACTAATATTCCCACAAGCCACAGTCACTCATTTGTACATTCTTTTTATTTGACATATCAATTTATTTGATTTATAAATTGTGGTAAGGATTTTATATGTTATTTTATAGGATTAAGAAGTATAACAAAATCATACTCAAGACTTTTGCAGAGGTTTCTAGTAACTGTTAGTCTCCCTTTAGAAACTAGCAGAGAGAGTTGAACATCCTTTATATAGTTTGATGGAGACAAATCTTTCATCTGATTGCATTTGCACTTTGCAATCCTCACGTCTCATATAAATGTCCATAGTGAACAAAAAGCAAGGGAAGAAGTATTTTATTTTATTTGGGGGGGGGGGGGTTCCCACCCGGGTAGACTCTTGGAGCCCAACTAAATCTGGATTCGCGCCGGCGGAAAGTCCCACATTGGGAGGTAAAGCTCCCTAATAAAGGCGACTCTGTGCCAGGGGGACTCAAACCCGAGACCTCTGGTTAAGGATGAAGTAGTACTTACCACTCCACCACAAACTTGTTGTTTCATGAATCAAAGAAATAGTAGAAACCTATCACTTGTTGTGAGGAGAGAGTACCAACAAACCTTTGACTCATGACCAGTAGGACATCTAGTAGCTTTAAAGAAAATAAGGTCCTTTCAGAAAACATTTCTCATCTCATGCATTTATCCAAAATAAAATAAATGAAACAATTCTCATCTCATGGATATCCGAAGACTTGTTTTTATTTCAAGGTAGGAAAGATCCGAGGGTGAAGGTTACAGCTTGAGATTAAAATTATAAATGGTCAAAAAGTAGAAAAAGGGTAACTTACATTGTCAAGTTCCTGTTAGCAAAAGGCACTTGTTCATTCAAGAGCAAAGTTATGCTTGCTAGAAACAAACCAGTTGGTTGTTTGCCTCCAATTTGTATTTTCCTATCGGTAAATTGGACCTTCAGAATGTGTAGGTAGAAGGAAGAGGTCTGCCACACAAACAAAGTTAGACAAAGAATAAAAAGGTACTCATTGCTTCACACATATCAAAGCAACTCTAACTTCTCAACATCAGAAACGGGTGCGACAAACAGTAACAGTCTTGAAGTGTCAGCAAATAATTTTAGGATTTAAGTTTTTTTTTTTTTGATGACAAGGGAAACCCACAGCCGCTACCCTTTGGGTGCGCACAGGATTTAAGTTAATATTTTACACTATCAGTATATTTAGCATGATATTTACCCTCAGCTTTTCAATCCACAACTGCCATAGACAATTGAATTGATAGTGTATAAATCTGAACCCAATTTTCCTAGAAAGCTCAGCAAGCACTTTACTTCTCAAGTGTCCATAGAAGTAAAGCTACTCTTACAAGATAATTCAAATAGTAGAACATCTTATATTATTGTTTATGGGTGTGAAATCATCAAGTTTCACATTTCCCATAAATTCTGGACAATACACTATGTAAAGGCACTTGGGATCCCTAGACCATTCCGCTGTTGAGCACAATTTTTAACTTAAATACCAAAATTGTCACATTTACCCACTAAAAGATCACGTGAAACAGGCTACTCTACCAACTTAAATTATACATAACACTGATAAAAGGACTCCACCAACCAACTATTCTAACCAGTTGATGTTGGGTATATAATTACTCTCTTTTCATTCTTCTCTATTCAAGCACATTACATTACAAAGACATCATAATCCCAATGAATGTTAACTTACAAGAACTGCAATCAATTTGGTATCAGGACTCCAAACAGCTCGCAAATTCTCGCCTTCCTTCTGAATCGAATCCGAGCTTCTCTTGTACTTGCCCAATCTCACTCTATGCTGCAGCCAATTCAAAACCCAAAAGAAATGTAAGAAATTGATCAACACCCAGTTCAAAACATCATAAAAATGTGAAGAATTCTCATCAACCAAACCGAAATTCTCAACAAAAAAAAAAAAATTGATCAAACTCTGACCTGTGAGGAGGACCATAGTTCAAGATGAGTAGGAGAAACGACAAGCAATAAGCGATTAATGACTTTGAGGTACACAATTTGCTGTGAAGAAGGGCATAGCCCTGATTCCATAGGAATGACCTGTGGCCATCCATATGCCATATACATCTTCTTGAAAATTTAAGCGAAAAAATCCTGAACAGGGGATACTTCAGTTTCCGAAGCTTTTCAATCCGAAAAAAATCAGGAGAAAATGCAGATCAAAGAGTGCGAGAGAGCATGATTAGGGTTTTAATGGAGATCCAAATCTGAGTAAATTTGATGAAGAAAATGATGAAAGAGAGTGTCAATGTGATGGGACCTCCCTTTCAGTTGGGGTTTGGATCTCAAAGAGTTTTGAAGAACTGTGATGCTGCTACACTTTCATTTCCTTTAATTTGTATTTTGACCCCTCACTGTTTTTAAACCCTCTATTCACGTAGCCCGTGTAATCCCATAAAGTAAAATTTAAATGTTAGCATGTAGGTCAATCTTATCCCTAATTTAGAGATAGAAAATATATTTTTGATAGACTCTCGATTCAAGGAGTCTAGAAAAAAAGTAATGAGAAATAGCAAATAAGACCGTGAGGGTAACTATAACAAAATAAAATGATAGTCTGATACAAGAAACAATACATAATAACAGAAATAGAAGGACAAGAAGCTAAGGCATGATACTAAAAATATTAGTATGAACGAATAATGAGACAACATAGTGTAATTTATACTCTAATTCGTGTCCTCCGATCCACAGTTTGTCATATGTCATGTCTTCGGTAAACTGAAATTATGTCATGTCTTGTCTAATTACTTTTTTCTAATAATTCTTCGATATACCTATATATCTCACGAAAAATCCATAGACATCCTCTCACACCTCCACAACAAAGTATACAGACATTTCGTATTCACATGTTTGAACCATCTTAATTTTGTTTCCCGCATCTTCTCCTCCACAAAAGTCATTCTCCTCTTATTTAGGATATCCTCATTTCTAATCATATCTTTCCTAGCTGATCGTTAAAATGAATTTGTACTATAATTAATTTATTGTGTACTAACTTGGATAGAACATAACGGATACATAAAGATCAAATAAAGTATTACTATTGAATTGGATCCCTCAATCTCATCCATATTCCAATTAAACCCTTGGCAGAAAAATCTCATGTAGTATATTTATTAGGCAACGTGAAAATTCTAAGACTATCTCCGATCCACCTCTATTTTACTCTCTATTCTCTATATTTGGAAAGTGAAATAGAGAATGGATACTCCAATCCACCTCCAAATCACTCTCTATTCTTCAAATTTAGAGAGTTGAATAGTAGTTCTCCAAATTTGAAGAATTGCTATACTCTCTATTTCACTTTTTCAATATTTTATTATTTCCATTACTTTCTAATTAACATATTATTTTACATATAATTTCATTAATTAAATATCTAATATTCATAATTCTTTTTAAATATAATATAATATAATATTTTTAAAAATATATTATTTAATATATACTACTTTTATTTCAAATTAATAGTATTTTTGAATTTTTTCTAATTTTCATCAATAAAAAAAAATTTATTAATTTTCATTATAAAAAATACACAAAATTAAAATGATAAGATGAAAAATTTAATTTAAATACAAGATAACAATACAATACATAACATAATAATTTAAATACAAGATAAAATACAATACATAACATAATAATTAATTCGCAATGAAACAATAATCATATCGAAAAGATGTTGAACGTGCATTCAGAGTTTTGCAATTATTGCAGGACCGTCACGTTTTTTTGAGAAAGGAAGTGCTACATGATATAATGACTACATGTACTATACTGCACAACGTGATAATTGAGGATGAACGTGATCTTAATGCACCAATTCAAGGTGTCATAGAGGCTCCAACTCCCACGACAGAAATGGTGGTAGATGAAAGCGGTGTCGTAGAGGCTCCAACTCCCACGACAGAAATTGTGGTAGATGAAAACCTCCGGTTTGAACAATTTTTAGCTAGACATAAAAAAAATTAAGGACAAAAATGCTCATTTTGAACTCCGTAATGCATTAATAGAGCATTTATGAGAGCAACGTAATAATTTCGAAAATTGAGTGTTTATGTAATGTTTATGTAATTGTATTTCACTTTTATTTGAATTTGTCCATTAATTTATATATTATATAATATTTTCTTGCAATTTATGGTATTTAAAATTTTAGAATAAAATATAATTTTATATTAAATAAAAAATTTGAAAAATAAAACTTTGTATCACATGAGAATTATATAAAGTAATTATTGGAAAAAAGAAACAAATAATTTATATTATGAAATAAGAAAATAAGAATGAAATAGAAATAATAATATAATATTGAGGAGAGAGAAAAATATTCTTTTTTAGAAAGTAAAATAGAGAATTGGGTTGAAGTTGGTTGTCTAAAAAAATAGAAAACTCTATAATTAGAGAGTAAAATAGAGTGTAGGATTAAAGATGCCCGGATAAAAATAAGTTATGGATCCAAAATAATAATAACACGTAAAGATTATGAGTTTAATAAGAGTACATGTGTTAATATTATGTGTAAAAATCGCCCATAGGTCTCCTCCTCTTTGTGGACTGCTAAAGTCAACATAGACAGGGAATTTAAGATAAGAAAGACAAAGTGTTTGCAATTAATTAGTCTTGAAGACTTGAAAACTGAATGTGTTAATTGATCATAAACTCACAAAAAATTGGCTACTAGAGAATAGAGTAAAGGATTAAAATTGTCCTTTTATCTTTGAATTAAGAATCAAAGTAATTCTTGTGTTTTATCACGGAGCACTAATAGTCCTTCATGTTTCAACAATTAGTACACTTTTGATACTCTTGCAAACAGACTTCAATTCATAAAATATCAAGTCTCTTGTATTTACCAACACCAAGAGAATCAAAACTACATAGAACAACACTAAAATTTTAGCAAATCTTTACCGAAACTGCAGCAGAGCACCAACAATGCGTCAAAATAGCACCAAAAGTTCGTCAAAATAACATTAGAATTGCACCTAAACAGTACTGACAATGAACCATATTAGCTGGACTAAATTCACACTAATACAACACTATGGTTGCCCCAACATAGCAGCATAAAAGATAAAAAATTACACCAGAAAAATATCAAAACAACATTTGAATTACACCAAAACAGCAGCATCAGAATAACCCCTAAATCAGCATTAAACTTGCATCAACACCACCACCAGAAAGCACCTAAAACTGCACCAGAAACAGCACTAGAAAATCACTGTAACAGCTCCAAAACTGCACGAGAAAAGCTCATAAAACATACTCCAAATTTGCACCAAAACAGCAACAACATATTCGCACTAAAACAAATCAAAAATTGCACCAAAACTGCACCAGATTCTCACAGAAACTACACCAAAAAAGAAAAGAAACTGAAAAACAATAGCAAAATATTGTTTAAACTTGAAAAGCACACAATGATCCATTCTTTGCCCAAAAAAGGTGTAATTTTTTTTTATAATGTAACTCCACTTTGTTGGGTTTGTGTGAATTTTCCGAAGAAGAATTCATTTCTTCTCCTTGTCCTACTTCTCCCTATTTCATATTTTCTTGTTGAACTTTAGAACATCTTAGTCTAACCTGAAAGCACAATATATATAAATATTTATATATACTTTATATTAGCTAAAGATAATTAAATGATGAAATAATTCAAAAATGATGTTAAAAGATAATACAGGTAGTTTATCACAAACAGAATAAGCAGTTGTTAGAGTTTGTGTTAGAGTTGATCTCTATGTATTCAGGTTCGGACCTAGGTAGAGCCCAGGGGGTTCACCCGAACCCCCTCGTCAAAAAATTACACTGTATATATAACGTTAAATTCTGATTTTATGTGTATATATATTAAAATGAACCCCCTGAGATCAAAGGACAGACTTGGCTCAATGGATAAGTGGTTCATGTAGTGTCCCTATGTCATGGGTTCAAGTCCCAATGGCAACATATTTTCCCATTTTTAATATTAGCTTTGGAAAGTGGAACTTTTGGGCTTAGACCTTCTTCTTCTTTTTCATTATTTTTTCCTTTTATTCCATTTCTTCTTTTTAATTTATTTTTGTTTAAATTTATTAGACACATTTCTTTTTATTTTTCTATTTTATTCTTTTTATATCTATTATTCATTTTGTTTCAACGTAACTCTTTTTTCATATATGTTTTGAATAACTTTTTTTTTTAAAATGATGAATTATATTTAACTTGAAATTGAGATAGAAATATAGTTTATTTTTAAAAAAAATGTAAATTAGATGGAATTGAATGAAGAAACTTAAATATCGTCAACGTCCTTTTAAAAATATTAATTTAATAGAATTCATGAATTTTCTTTTATATTTTTAATTCTATTTTAGTGGGATGAAAACGAAACTTATTTGATTTATTCGTTATTTATTATTTTTTTTACAAATTATGACTAACCTAGTAAATTGAACTATATGACTAAAAAAATTGACGATGATATTTATTTATATTAATAATATGCATTATAATATTAGTAATTCTATTCTTACACACTTTTAGAGAATCTTGACGATTTTTATAGTAATATTTGATTGAATGGATATTAATTTAAATTTTTTTAAAAGTGAAAGTTAATTTAAATTTTTTAAAAAGTGAAATATAAAGTAAAACATTACAAAATAAAAGTATAAAAAGCACAAGAAATTTTAAGAATGCTCGATGGAGCATGATAAAAGTAAAAAGAAATGTTTAATACGGTATGATAAAGTGAGTTAAATTTAGCATGATAAGGTAAATATTTTTCTTCCCCGTCTCGCTTCCTTTTTCATCATTTAATTTTCATGTGATTTAGGAATTAACTTATGTAATACAGTCGATCCACTAAAATTCTTATCAATGCAACTTTGTTCTCGATATCTTTGATTAGCTTAGTCTTTACTCTTATGAACCAATGAAATATCTATGGTTCTTGTACAAAGAGCATGCCGAGGGGCTACTACGCTCATCGCGCACTTGCATTACCACCTGGACTTCTTCTTTATACTTCGAACCCCCTGAGCAAAAATCCTGGGTCCGCCACTGTATGTATTGTAGTTGTAATAGGATTGTAATTGTGATTATTCTATATTATAAATATAAGTCATGCGGGTGAGTAAACACACGCTTTTACATATCAATTTCTGTCTTTCAATAGCAGCTTCAGGCTGCACATCTTTAGTTTTGCAAGTCCTTTTGTTGTGACCAGACTTGTGGCAAGTACTACAATCTAGAGATTTTTGTTTCCTTTGCATCGTTGTTCGACTTGCTCCTACTTCATCATCTTCTTTTCTTCTAGGA